ATCTGGTTCATGTGCAAAATGCATTCCAGTGGAGAGAGGGAAGCAAAATTCCAGACCAGCAACATAAATAGAACATTAGATACTGATGTGTTACGGAGGCAGGGAAGTTGGGTATGCAGTCAGGTGGTTAGGACAATTTGAAATAGGGTTATCAGGAAGGATTTCCTTAAAAATGACATTTGAGCGAAGCTGTGAAGATGGTTAAAGAGTGGTCCAAGTGGATAACAGAAGAATATTTTAGGATAGAGGTTTCTAGGGGGCTAGATAATAAAGGCTTGGGGATTTATTATAAGGATTTACTATAAGGATTTTGCTGAGTGAGATGGGAAGACATTGAAAGGTCTTTCTCTTTTGTTTTAGTTTTAGTCAAGGAGTGACACGATCTCACTTATATTTTTCAAAGACAATTCTTTCTAATGTTTAAGAGTAAACCGCTTGGGGGTGGGCAAAAGTAGAAGCTCTTACAATAATTTAAGCAAGAGATAAGGGTATCTTGGATCAGGGTGGTAGTGGAAAAATAGTGAGAATCTGTGAGATTCCAGTTAGGTTTTAATTAATTATAGAGTCAACAGAATTTGCTGATGGCTTGAATATGGAATGTGACCCAAAAGATGATTCCAAGGATTTTATTATAACTGGAAGGGTGGAGTTATCAGTTACTGAGCTAGAGTAGACAATGGGAAGAGTAATTTTAGAGGATAGATGAGATGTTGCTTTGGAATGCGTACAGTCTGATATGCCTATTTGACATCTAAGTGGAGATGTAGAACAGACAGTTGAATATGAGTCCAGTTCCAGGAAAATGTTTGGGTTGGAGATAAAACTGTGTGATATTCAAGATAATGATAATATTTAAAGCACTGGGACTCAGTGGGAGCTCCAGAGAGTGAGTGTAAATTTATTTAAAATTTAATCATCTATTTAACAAACACATGTTCCAGTACTGCTCTCAGTGCTTTGCAAGTATAAACTCATTTAATTCTCATACCAAGCCTAAAATGTAGGCATTATTATTTCCTCCTTTTATAAATAAAGAAACTGAAGCACTAGAGATCAAGTAACTTGCCCAAGGTCACAAGCAAATGGCTGGTAAGTGATAGAAATGGAATTTTTAACCAAGGCTGTTTAGCACTGGAGTTATTATTAGAGAAGTTGTCTAATGGCCTGAGGCTTCAGGAACTGCAACAATTACAGTTTAGGGAGATGAGAGAGATCAGTAAATCTCATTCATAGCAGGTAACACATTTTACTTTGTCACAGAAAATCTATGCTCAAGGAAAGTAGATACAGTAAGTATAGAGTATATGCAAAAACTATGTTTTGTTCCCCTTTATGCTTTTCTATATTTTCTATAATAAATATTAATTCTAGAATCAGGAAAAATTGCATTAAAATAAAGCAAAGGAGTTATCTTAAAAATCTTGTTTCAAAATGCATGTCAGTCTCTATTTACAACACAGCTCAAAGAGAAGGTGCAATGATAATCACTGCTGAAAAACTTAAGGGAAGCTCTCTGCTTAAGTATGAATAAGGTTAACATATAATTTATTGTCCAAACTAGAACAATTCTTAAGAGTAAAAGAGAGCACTATCAATTATATATGACAACAAGGTTAAGTTAGAACTGTTTTAAACATACTTGAAATATATGTAGGTGCCCTAGGGAGACTTCTCCTTAAAAATAGGGTTCGCATGAATACAAAGAAGTCAACTCTTATCTAGTCCATGCACACTACCAAACGTTGTTGCCACCTTCTTACTTTCCCTTCTAGGTTAAGTACACCGTTATTTGTCATTATTGTTGGTTAACATTTTTACTATTATAAGTACTGGTTAGATATAATAGGCATCACAAAACAAACTGAGTACCACCTGTATATTATTATAGTGGGTTTAGAGATACTCTATTTGAGGCCAATCAGTTGTTATGATGAGAAATACTACAGTAGTCTCCCCTTATATTCAAAGAATACATTTTAAGACCCCCTAGTGGATGCCTGAAACCACAGATAGCACTGAACCCTATACATATACACCTACGATAAAGTTTAATTTATAAGTTAGGCACAGTAAGATATTAACAACAATAACTAATAAAAAAAATAGAACAATTAAGTAAAATAAAGGTTACTTGAACAAGAGCACTGTGATACCACAACAGTCAATCTGATAACAGAGATGGCTGTTAAGTAATTCACTGGCAGGTGGCATTATATAGACATGCTGCACAACCTAAGTGGGATGGAGCAAGATGGCACAAGATTTCTTCACACTACTCAGAACAGCATGCAATCTAAAACTCATGAGTTCTTATTTCTGGAATTTTCAATTTAATATTTTGAGGACCACAGTTAACAGTGGGTGACTGAAACTGTGGAAATCGAAACCACAGATAAGGGGGGACAACTGTAGAGAATGAAGTCATTTTTATGGTTAAAGTCCCATTTTAAGGATTTGAAAAGAAATATTAAAATCCTGAAGTATAAATATAATCAAAGAATAAATCACTTTACAATAAAACTTGAAAAAAATACCTTTATTCCCATTCTATCTTAAATGAATTAGAAACAACACACCTATTCACTTCCATTTCCTAAACTACTTTTTTTTTTTAATTATACTTTAAGTTCTGGGATACATGCGCAGAACATGCGGGTTGTTACATAGGTATACACGTGCCATGGTGGTTTGCTGCACTTATCAACCCTTCATCTACATTAAGTGTTTCTCCTAATTCTATCCCTCCCTTAGCCCCCCACCTGCCAACATGCCCTGGTGTGTGATGTTCCCCTCCCTGTGTTCATGTGTTCTCAGTGTTCAATTCCCACATGTGAGTGAGAACATGGGGTGTTTGGTTTTCTGTTCCCGTGTTAGTTTGCTGAGAACGATGGTTTCCAACTTCATCCACGTCGCTGCAAAGGACATGAACTCATCTTTTTTATGGCTGCATAGTATTCCATAGTGTGTATGTGCCACATTTTCTTTATACAGTCTATTACTGATGGGCATTTGGTTTGGTTGCAAGTCTTTGCTATTGTGAAAAGTGCTGCTATAAACATACCTGTGCATAGGTCTTTATAATGGAATGATTTATAACCCTTTGGATATATACCCAGTAATGGGATTTCTGGGTCAAATGGTGTTTCTGGTCCTAAATGACTACTGGGCAAATTAAGGCAGAAATAAATAAGTTATTTGAAATCAAGGAGAACAAAGACACAATATACCAGAATCTCTGGGAGACAGCTAAAGCCATGGTTAAAGGGAAATTTATAGCACTAAATGCCCTCAGGAGAAAGTGAAGAAGATCTAAAATCGACACCCTAACATCATAATTAAAATAACTAGAGAAGCAAGAGTAAACAAATTCAAAAGATAGCAGAGGACAATAACTAACTAAGGTCAGAGCAAAACTGAAGGATAGATACACAAAAAACCCTTCAAAAAATCAATTAATCCAGGAGCTGGTTTTTTGAAAAGGTTAACAAAATAGAACAAAATTTTTCCCTTGCTGGTGAGGAGTTGTGATCCTTTGGAGCAGAAGAGGCATTCTGGTTTTTGGAGTTTTCAGCCTTTTTGTGCTGGTTTTTCCTCATCTTCGTGGATTTATCCACCTTTGGTCTTTGATGCTGGTTACCTTCAGATGGGATTTTTCTGTGAATGTCCTTTTTGCTGATGTTGATGCTATTCCTTTCTGTTTGTTAGTTTTCCATCTAACAGGCCCCTCTGCTGGAGTTTGCTGGAGGTCCAGTCCAGATCCTGTTTGCCTGAGTATTACCAGGAGAGTGCAGAACAGCAAAGATTGTGCCTGTTCCTTCCTCTGGAAGGTTTTTTCAGAGGGGCACCCGCCAGATGCCAGCCAGAGCTCTCCTGTATGAGGCGTCTGTCCACCCGTGCTGGGAGGTGTGGGGTTAGGGACCCACTTGAGGAGATAGTCTGTCCCTTAGCAGAGCTTGATTGCTGTGCTGGGAGATCTGCTGCGCTCCTCAGAGCCGGCAGGCAGGGATGTTTAAGTCTGCAGAAGCTGTGCCCACAGCTACCCCTTCACCAGGTACTCCATCCCAGGAAGATGGGAGTTTCATCTATAAGTCCCTGACTGAGGCTGCTGCCTTTTGTTCAGAGATGCCCTGCCCAGAGAGGCGGAATCTAGAGACAGTCTGGCTACAGCGGCTTTGCTGAGCTGCAGTGGCCTCCGCCCGGTTCGAACTTTCTGGCGGTTTTGTTTACACTGTGAGGGGAAAACCACCTACTCAAGCCTCAGTAATGGTAGACGCCCCTCCCCCCACCAAGCCTGAGCATCCCAGGTGGACTTCAGACTGCTGTGCTGTCAGTGAGAATTTTCAAGCCAGTGGATCTTAGCTTGCTGGGCTCCATGGGAGTGGGATCCGCTGAGCTAGACCACTTGGCCCCCTGGCTTCAGCCCCCTTTCCAGGGGAGTAAATGGTTCTGTCTCACTGGTGTTCCAGGCACCAGTAGGGTATGAAAAAAATCTCTTGTAGCTAGCTTGGTGTCTGCCCAAATGGCTGCCCCGTTTTGTGCTTGAAACCCAGGACCCCTGTGGTGTAGACACCTGAGGGAATCTGCAGGTTGCGAAGACCATGGAAAAAGCATAGCATCTGGGTCAGAGTGCACCCTTCCTCATGGCACAGTCCTTCATGGCTTCCCTTGACTAGGGGACGGAGTTCCCTGACCCCTTGCGCTTCCTGGGTGAGGTGACGCCCCACCCTGCTTCAGCTCGCCCTCTGTGGGCTGCACCCACTGTGTAACCAGTCCCAGCGAGATTACAGAAGTTGTCTAATGGTACCTCAGGTGGAAATGCAGAAATCATTCATCTTCTGCATTGATCTCGCTGGGAGCTGCAGACTGGAGCTGTTTCTATTTGGCCATCTTACCAGCTCCCAATCCTAAACTACTTTTAATATGATATAAATACTGACTTTGGTGTGGAATGTATGCACATGGTATGTCAAAGTGGAAATACAAGGGAATATATACTGTACCTTGTTTTACCTGTAAGGAACACACACCTGACAAAAGGCAATTTTCACATCCAATGTTGGTTCACTGCAGTAGTATAAGAAATGGAGGCTCATAAATACCTAGAGGAAAAAGAAATAGAACATAAATTTTCAAATCATTTATTTTTCATTACATAACAATATAGATTTTGGCATAATTTGAGCTATATGCAAAGTATCATGCACAACATATCTCCAACATAATCCTTATCTTGACCCATACTATACCTTTCACAAACTGTATTTAATAATGAAATAAGGTTAAAAGGTCTTATCTTTTATAATGATCAATTCCATCACACTCATAAAGATTAGATATAAGAAAGGGGACATACCTAATAATTTAAAGGGAAATACATCCTGTTATAAAGCATTTTTAGTTCTTAACATTTAATTAACAAAAAAAAAACCTCTCAAACATATGCTGAACAGGATATATGTACTTACTGTAGAATAAAAGCACTATTAAATAAAATATAATTTATAATAGAATTCTATATAGGACTTGGAGTAATTACATTAGAGCTTAAAGTACCAGTATAGATAAATTTTTCTTTTTTTTTTTTATTATTATACTTTAAGTTCCAGGGTACATGTGCACAATGTGTAGGTTTGTTACATATGTATACTTGTGCCATGCTGGTGTGCTGCACCTATCAACTCGTCAGCACCCATCAACTCATCATTTACATCAGGTATAACTCACAATGCCATCCCTCCCCCTATCCCCTCCCCGTAATAGGCACCAGAGTGTGATGTTCCCCTTCCCGAGTCCAAGTGATCTCGTTGTTCAGTTCCCACATATGAGTGAGAACATGCAGTGTTTGGTTTTCTGTTGTTGCAATAGTTTGCTGAGAATGATGGTTTCCAGCTGCTTCCATGTCCCTACAAAGGACACGAACTCATCCTTTTTTATGGCTGCATAGTATTCCATGGTGTATATGTGCCACATTATCTTAATCCAGTCTGTCACTGATGGACATTTGGGTTGATTCCAAGTCTTTGCAATTGTGAATAGTGTCGCAGTGAACATACGTGTGCATGTGTCTTTATAGCAGCATGATCTACAATCCTTTGGGTATATACCCAGTAATGGGATGGCTGGGTCATATGGTACTTCTAGTTCTAGATCCTTGAGGAATCGCCATACTGTTTTCCATAATGGTTGAACTAGTTTACAATCCCACCAACAGTGTAAAAGTGTTCCTATTTCTCCACATCCTCTCCAGCACCTGTTGTTTCCTGACTTTTGAATGATTGCCATTCTAACTGGTGTGAGATGGTATCTCATTGTGGTTTTGATTTGCATTTCTCTGATGGCCAGTGATGATGAGCATTTTTTCATGTGTCTGTTGGTTGTATGCCTGTCTTCTTTTGAGAAATGTCTGTTCATATCCTTTGCCCACTTTTTGATGGGGTTGTTTGTTTTTTCTTGTAAATTTTTTTGAGTTCTTTGTAGGTTCTGGATATTAGTCCTTTGTCAGATGAGTAGATTGCAAAAATTTTCTCCCATTCTGCAGGTTGCCTGTTCACTCTGATGGTAGTTTCTTTTGCTGTGCAGAAGCTCTTTAGTTTAATTAGATACCATTTGTCAATTTTGGCTTTTGTTGCCGTTGCTTTTGGTGTTTTAGACATGAAGTCCTTGCCCATGCCTATGTCCTGAATGGTATTACCTAGGTTTTCTTCTAGGGTTTTTATGGTATTAGGTCTAACATTTAAGTCTCTAATCCATCTTGAATTAATTTTCGTATAAGGAGTAAGGAAAGGATCCAGTTTCAACTTTCTACTTATGGCTAGCCAATTTTCCTAGCACCATTTATTAAATAGGGAATCCTTTCCCCATTTCTTGTTTTTCTCAGGTTTGTCAAAGATCAGATGGCTGTAGATGTGTGGTATTGGTTCTGAGGACTCTGTTCTGTTCCATTGGTCTATATCTCTGTTTTAGTACCAGTACCGTGTGGTTTTGGTTACTGTAGCCTTGTAGTATAGTTTGAAGTTGGGTAGCGTGATGCCTCCAGCTTTGTTCTTTTGACTTATGATTGTCTTGGAGATGCGGGCTCTTTTTTGGTTCCATATGAACTTTAAAGCAGTTTTTTCCAATTCTGTGAAGAAACTCATTGGTAGCTTGATGGTGATGGCATTGAATCTATAAATTACCTTGGGCTGTATGGCCATTTCCACGATATTGATTCTTCCTATCCATGAGCATGGTATGTTCTTCCATTTGCTTGTGTCCTCTTTTATTTCACTGAGCGGTGGTTTGTAGTTTTCCTTGAAGAGGTCCTTTACATCCCTTGTAAGTTGGATTCCTAGGTATTTGATTCTCTTTGAAGCAATTGTGAATGGAAGTTCATTCATGACTTGGCTCTCTGTTTGTCTGTTACTGGTGTATAAGAATGCTTGTGATTTTTCCACATTAATTTTGTATCCTGAGACTTTTCTGAAGTTGCTTATCAGTTTAAGGAGATTTTGGGCTGAGATGATGGGGTTTTCTAAATATACAATCATGTCATCTGCAAATAGGGACAATTTGACTTTTTCTTTTCCTAACTGAATACCCTTTATTTCTTTCTCTTGCCTGATTGCCCTAGCCAGAACTTCTAACACTATGTTGAATAGGAGTGGAGAGAGAGGGCATCCCTGTCTTGTGCCAGTTTTCAAAGTTTTTGCCCATTCAGTATGAAATTCGTTGTAGGTTTGTCAAAAATAGGTCTTATTGTTTTGAGATACGTTCCATCAATACCTAGTTTATTGAGAGTTTTTAGCATGAAGGGCTGTTGAATTTTGTCAAAGGCCTTTTCTGCATCTATTGAGATAATCATGTGGTTTTTGTCTTTGGTTCTGTTTATATACTGGATTACATTTATTGATTTGCATATGTTGAACCAGCCTTGCATCCCAGAGATGAAGCCCACTTGATCATGGTGGGTAAGCTTTTTGATGTGCTGCTGCATTCGGTTTGCCAGTATTTATTAAGGATTTTTGCATCGATGTTCATCAGGGATATTGGTCTAAAATTCTCTTTTTTTGTTGTGTCTCTGCCAGGCTTTGGTATCAGGATGATGTTGGCCTCATAAAATGAGTGATGGAGTATTCCCTCTTTTTCTATTGATTGGAATAGTTTCAGAAGGAATGATACCAACCCCTCCTTTTACCTCTGGTAGAATTCAGCTGTGAATCCGTCTGGTCCTGGACTTTTTTTGGTTGGTAGGCTATTAATAATTGCCTCAATTTCAGAGCCTGCTATTGGTCTATTCAGGGATTCAACTTCTTCCTAGTTTAGTCTTGGGAGTGTGTAAGTGTCCAGGAAATTATCCATTTCTTCTAGTTTATTTGCATAGAGGGGTTTATAGTATTCTCTGTGGTAGTTTGTATTTCTGTGGAGTTGGTGGTGATATCCCCTTTATCATTTTTTATTGAATCTATTTGATTCTTCTCTCTTTTCTTCCTTATTAGTCTTGCTAGCAGTCTATCAATTTTGGTGATCTTTTCAAAAAAACCAGCTCCTGGATTGATTGATGTTTTGGAGGGCTTTTTGTGTCTCTATCTCCTTCAGTTCTGCTCTGATCTTAGTTATTTCTTGCCTTCTGCTAGCTTTCGAATGTGTTTGCTCTTGCTTCTCTAGTTCTTTTAATTGTGATGTTAGAATGTCAATTTTAGATCTTTCCAGCTTTCTCTTGTGGTCATTTAGTGCTATAAATTTCCCTCTACACACTGCTTTAAATGTGTCCCAGAGATTCTGGTATGTTGTATCTTTGTTCTCATTAGTTTCAAAGAACATCTTTATTTCTGCCTTCATTTCGTTATGTACCCAGTAGTCATTCAGGAGCAGGTTGTTCAGTTTCCATGTAGTTGAGCGATTTTGATTGAGTTTCTTAGTCTTGAGTTCTAGTTTGATTGCACTGTGGTCTGAGAGACAGTTTGTTATAATTTCTGTTCTTGTACATTTGCTGAGGAATGCTTTACTTCCAACTATGTGGTCAATTTTCGAATAAACGCGATGTGGTGCTGAGAAGAATGTATATTCTGTTGATTTGGGGTCGAGAGTTCTGTAGATGTCTATTAGGTCTGCTTGGTGCAGAGTTGAGTTCAATTCCTGGATATCCTTGTTAACTTTCTGTCTCGTTGATCTGTCTAATGTTGACAGTGGGGTGTTGAAGTCTCCCATTATTATTGTATGGGAGTCTAAGTCTCTTTGTAAGTCTCTAAGGACTTGCTGTATGTATCTGGGTGCTCCTGTATTGGATGCATATATATTTAGGATAGTTAGCTCTTCCTGTTGAATTGATCCCTTGACCATTATGTAATGGCCTTCTTTGTTTCTTTTGATCTTTGATGGTTTAAAGTCTGTTTTATCAGAGATGAGGATTGCAATTCCTGCTTTTTTTGTTCTCCATTTGCTTGGTAGATCTTCCTCCATCCCTTTATTTTGAGCCTGTGTGTGTCTCTGCATGTGAGATGGGTCTCCTGAATACAGCACACTGATGGGTCTTGACTCTTTATCCAGTTTGTCAGTCTGTGTCTTTTAATTGGGCCATTTAGTCCATTTACATTTAAGGTTAATATGGCTATGTGTGAACTTGATCCTGTCATTATGATATTAGCAGGATTATTTTGCTCGTTAGTTGATGCAGTTTCTTCCTAGCATCGATGGTCTTTACATTTTGGCATGTTTTTGCAATGGCTGGTACTGCTTCTTCCTTTCCATGTTCAGGATCTCTTGTATGGCAGGCTTGGTGGTGACAAAATCTCTAAGCATTTGCTTTTCTGTAAAGGATTTTATTTCTCCTTCACTTATGAAACTTAGTTTGGCTGGATATGAAATTCTGGGTTGAAAATTCTTTTCTTTAAGAATGTTGAATATTGGCCCCTACTCTCTTCTGGCTTGTAGAGTTTCTGCCGAGAGATCTGCTGTTAGTCTGATGGGCTTCCCTTTGTGTGTTACACGACCTTTCTCTCTGGCTACCCTTAACAGTTTTTCCTTCATTTCAACTTTGGTGAATCTGACAATTATGTGCCTTGGAGTTGCTCTTCTCGAGGAGTATCTTTGTGGCATTCTCTGATTATTCTAGTTATCCATT